ATATATATATATATATATATATATATATATATATATATATATACTTATATAAGTGTTTTGTTATGGTCAGAATGAGAATAAATACCTCAGCTTATATTTAATTTATGATCATAGCTTTTAAAAACGTTAGTTTTAAGTATTTTTTACTATATTTTCAAATTGAAGATCATTACATATATACATGTATACACGTGTATGTTCACTTGCGCTTCACTTTGACCTTTATATGCTTACATGTATCCTTGCATTACCAAATTGCAGAATTTTGTACAACATTATTAGATGGTCTTTAAACTAAAACCTAAACTTTACAATTGCAATATGAAATTCAAAGGAAAAAGCATGTGATAAATTATAAATATTATGTATAGTTTTGATCGTTTTTCTTAGCAGTTTTATAAAACAATCTGCTCTAGTCTAGAAGTTTCAGGCTAGTGACAGATAAATATATAATCATTATAAATGTAAAATAGTATGTTCTAATAATTTTTAATTTTACGATTTTGTATTTAACTAAGTTATGCTGTTTCACAATTACTAGCTAACACAATTAATTGTATATTTCACAAAACTTGTAATAACAAAACCAATGTTACGTAATGGCAGCAAGAAAAAAAATATATATTGTACGATTTATATATCTCTATTTAAATAAGAGAATTCTTCTGCCTGTTTTTTCACTTTTTTTATTTAAATATGTCTTACATATTTACATTCTCTAAATTTTTCTCAATAATGTAGAATATTGATTCGACCTCATAAAATTGTACTAACAGACAAGCAAGGAAGATAATTGTTATCTACCTATTCTTATTTGCTAGCATTTTCATTATAAAATCCCTATAAATATCTTTCTTACTTGGTATGTAATGACCACCTTCATGGTGTATCTCTTCCTTGTTTGTAAATAGACGACTGATTTGTTTTGTCATTTCTGTAAGAAGTAGTAATTCAGTACTTTTAATATAGTTTAATGCATCTTATTATTCAATACCATCTTTTATTAATAAGTTATAATCCTACCTGTAGGAATAACTTGATCATTTTCTCCATAAATATGTAAAGATGGTATATCTATTTCTTCATTATAATATATTGAATGAGGTGCACATAGTGATTTGAAGCCAGATATGATAATAACAAAGTCAAAGTCAATTTCCAGTACTTTAAAAAGATTAGTATGATCATGAGTTGATTGCATATAATAAATTCCCATATAAATATGTATCACTTTATATACTTACATTGCTGTTTCTTCATGGCACATAGTATACTGACAAAAGCAGCACCTTGGGAGAAACCTAATATGCCATCGAAAGGACCTTGCTCCAAAAATGTCTTTTTTACTAAATTTATACTGTCAGTAAATCCTACACACAAAACACTAGGATCTGTTGCTTTAAAATAATGGTCCTTTGTATTGAACCACCATCCATATCCTATAATACATAAAAATATTGTTAGTGCTATTTTTTAAGTAACAGCATGGTATTGTAATTCTAAAGATAGCACTTTTTATAGCTTACCATTTCCATCAGTTGATGGAACTTCGTGTGGTGCTTTTATAAATATAAAGTCTATTTCTTTCTTAAATCCTTTCCTCAATGAGCCTAACTTGGCGCTAAATATCACATCTGATTGTACATATCCATGTAATGCTAAAATCTGAAACAAAGAATGTATATTTAGATATCATTCTTTCTGTATCTACAGATACATACAAAATATCCTTAATTATTATAGATAATTCAAAAATATTACCAGATATTACCCATACAGCACAAATCTTCAAAGGATGTTCTAAAGACGTTCTAAGGACATTCATACATCCTAAGAAAGTTCAAGAACATTCTCTGAAGATTTTACGCTATCTGGATATCTTTCAAAATATTATAAAAATGTTTTAAAAATATTTAAGTAAATTATTCATAAGTCAAAATTATTCATAATAATATCAATACAATGTTGAAAATTACTTATTAAAAACAGCACTTTTACTCACTAGGATACCACCCAAACAATTAAAATTATAAATTTATAACTTATGATAATTTATATTCAATAATATATCGTCTCAAAAATTACATTTCTCTATCTCTTTTTGTTAGTTTTTCTACAAAACAGTTTTAGAGCTTTCATTTATATATATCATCTATAATGTAAAGAGAATTATTTGTGTTTATATACATTTTTAAATTATTAATATAACAATTACCCGTAATTTGGTGCTTGTCATATTACATAGTTTTTCAACACAAGTAATTTATACATATATATAATAGTACTATATTGCTATTGGAGCGAGAAAATGGACCAACATCACGGTATAGACATATATCAACCTCTTACTTTCACAAATCGTGTATTTCGACGCAAATGCATATGCGTGTGTTCTGTGAAAGCTACTAGACGCTAGAACTCTCAAACAGAGATTGGCCAATGGGGAGGGTCTCCACGTGATTGGCGCACGTAGAGTCCTTATAATCAGGGGTGCGTTCGAAAACATCACCCGTGTGTATTTTGTCACACTCAGATCGTTCGAAAACCCCTAGTGGGCACACTGACCATGCGACCATGGCCGTTCGAAAACCGTACTCCGTGGACCACTCGTGTGACTTTTCTCCACTCTCTTTTGCGCGGTGTGAATCGGTGGAGATGGTGGAGAGTGCGCAAAGAGTGCAATACAGTATGAAATTACTAAATTATTTATGGTTTTTTCTGACGTACAAGCTGCATCGCAGCGTCAAGATATAATAAAAAGGCCTAGGCATGATTCTCGTCGCTTGCAGTATTAGCTATAGCTATAGGTCGGGAGAGAGACGGCAGCTTGTACGTCTGCACTCTTCCACCGCCCGAGTCTGGCCGAAGCGCCAAGCACTATAGTTCGTGACAGGCAGCCCACACGTACACAGTTCTTCGCTTATGTGCGCTGCGTCGCACGCACTATAGTTACGCGTACTCGGTCCCACATGTAGCAGCTCTGTCTAGAGCTTTGTTCGCGTCGCATGCCCCAATGGCCGCGTTCAGTAGAACAAGTGATCAGTAAGCGCTCAGTGAGCTCTTGCATCTGATTGGAGTATAGTTGGAGATCTAAAAGAATATGCCAAATCATATACAAGAGCTCCCTGAGCGCTTACTGATCACTTGTTCTACTGAACGCGGCCAATGTGCTCTTACACGCTCCAATGCACTCTGATTGGCACGTCATCACGCGGACCAATCAGAGTGTGTTGGAGCGGTAGGAGCATGTTGGGGCATACGACGCGAACAAACCTTATATGTGGGCGAACTAAACGGGTGACGTCATGCGGAGTGGGGATGCGCGCCAATTGAAGTATGAATGACAGACGTTATAGCGGGTGTATATCAGTTGGACACGGGGCAATTGGACACAGTCCAATCACAAGTCGCTGTTCCAAGGGACCCTACAAATGTCTCTAATCACACGGTGCTGTGATTGGCTGTGTCCAAATGCACCGTGTCCAAGTGCACCGCTTCCCGTTATAGCAAGTAATAGCAAGCAACATATGCACGTATACAGTTGTATGCATATATGCATATGTATAAATGTATATCTCTTACTATTTTCATAAGATGATGAAAATTAAAAAATAAAGAAATTAAATTATGATATCCGGTAACTCGCGCGATGCCGTATCCCTACTCCGCATGACGTCACTCGTTTAGTTTGGCCACATTCGGAGACTATCTCAGAGGGCGCGACTAAAAACGGAGGCCAATTTTTATAAGAGGGAGTTTGTACCTTCTGCGCTCCGCTCTCTCTAGATTCTCTCTGTAAAATGTTTCTCTCTTGTAGGATTTTGACGAAACCGCAGTTTTGGCCAAACTATGATTACAGTAACTCTAGTGTATACGAAAATATATCATGGTACGTTCGTTTTGGATGTCTTCGTGCTAGAAGTATCATTATCTTCCTTTGGCATGTAATGAGCAAAGATAGAATAACGTTATCAGTAGCTGCGTTTAGCAGAGAAAGCTGCTTTGCAACTGTTGTAAAATTTGTAAATCTGATTGGTACATGCTCTTGGAACAATTATATATGGGTTGGAGTATGCTCTTCAATCAAAATTAAGAGCTCCAATCAGATTCACGAATTTTACAACAGTTGCAAAGCAGCTTTCTCTGCTGAACACAACCAGTGCTATCAGCGCGAAAGCATCCAAAGTGAATGTAGCCTATGTGATATTTAACTACATCGCACTGCACTTTATGACGAAGGCTTGTTTTCGTAGAAGCATAAAGGATATATATACACATAAAATCTCATTATGTATTTGTTTATGAAACTGGTAAAAAATGAAATAAACTGAGTTAAAATATCTTGTAAAAGATATATATAATGTTTACTTGCACAAGTACATAAATTTTAATTAAATATGCTTTTCATTTTTTTTCTGATAAAATTGTACCATTTTTCACATTATATCTCACAGAACCAAGTCATAATTATATTTAAAAAATTAACTTTACAGAGATCACATTATCTGAAATAATTCTGCAAAGAAATTATATCTATTTCTTCATTATAATGCCATATGTACTGGATGTACTCATAACTTATATAACTTTAAACAAATGAAACATATTGGTGTTATATATATGTTTTAGATTAGAATAAACCACTCCAGTTAATTAAGTTATTACAGTCGAAAAGATTTTCTAACAATTAAAGGTCGTTAAGATCAACAGCTTCCACTTGTGCATTAAGATTTGTAACATTTTCCTTGCTTTCACTGGCTTCTAATTCTTTTCTTGGTATATCCAATTTGGACCATGAGCCAGGCTCAGCCTTTCTCAATTTAATTTCTACTTTAGTTGGTAACATATTTACGCTACTATTGTTAACATCAACAATCTGAAAAGAAAGATTGTGTATAGATTAATTTCATTAATCCTCTCAATTAAAATTGATCCTTAATTATAGATACATACTCCTCCCAATTCTATATCAAGGTTGTATCTCGAGTTTTCCTCTATAAAGAATAAATCAACAGTCAAATGAATAGGATTCAATTTTACAACAGATTGATTGGGTACATATTTCTTTGCATATACAGAAACAACTACATATGTGCCAGTTTGATGCCAATCCATCCTACATTGAACCTTTTTTCCCATGTCCTGAAACAATATATACATAATTAAAACAATAATTATAGAAGGATAATAGTGAGTAAAATAAAATCTTTCATCTGTGAACTATATACCTTAGAAAACCATACATGTTTTCCTAGAGAGCAACCTCGTTGATCTAGAAACACAGAGAATTCTGTTGTCTTTTTTTGACAACAGGACCAATATTTCATTCCTTCATGAAAAATTGGTACTCCAGAATGAAAAATACAAACTTCCTCATTGGAATCAGCACCATTGTAGGTTACTTTACAAGAATTATTTTTACAATTTTGTCCTATTTGTACTTCAGCTAGTGCAGGTTTAGTCTCTAAAGCTGTCAATCCTTTAACTTGTTCTAATAGAGTCTGAGATATCGTTGGTGACAACTGTAGCTGTGGAGTGTCAAAAGAAGGCCTGTCCAATGTTGAATTATTGATCCCTGGCTTGGAAACAACTTCTATTATTTCATCAACTTTGGTTTTATCAATAGGTCGTTTTTCTGGCTCTGATGGTTTTTCATTCGAATGCTTGGCTTTTGTACATCCCTTAATATTTAAGAATTCTGTAAAGTCTGTACATTTTTTATTACAACAGGACCAGCCTTTGTATGCATCATGAAATATAGGCTGTCCTGGATGATGAACACAATCATCTGTAACAAAATAAAAAAGATATAGACTATTTTTCATGTATATTATTAGTTATTTAAATTAATAACTAATCAAAGGTTAAGAGTAATAAAACTTACCGTCCTTATTATCATTAGGATCGAATTTTTTACCGCAACCTCGATGATAACAATGCAATAAAGCTGCTTTCTGTGACATTTTGAGCGTCCACAATTATTTCACGTGTTCCAGTGTGAGAGAGAACTTTGGAATATCACTCTAACCAACTTTAACTCGATATTCTTACACATCTGACCCACCGTTGAGTAATACCACCGAAAACGTAAAATCCGTCTGATGCATCGTTGAATCTATGGATGTAGGAATATAAGGATAGAGCGTAAGCTGAATTTATCGGCAGGGGCGGTGAAGCCGATTTGAGGGACGAGGTATCTCTAAAACTGTGTCTGAATTTGATTGGTTGAGTTGTACTCATGCGCAGTATCGCCAATTATAAACGAAATATTAAAAACAAGAACATATAATTCAGAATAATGGCTCCTGCACACAGAACGCGGTAATGCTTGCCGCGTGGCAAAAGTTCGTGCAACAGCAAATTAATATGTTGTTTTTCCATAATGGCTCCTGCACACAGGACGCGGTAATGCTTGCCGCGCGGCAAAAGTTCGCACGACAGCCAATCAATATGTTGTTTTTCCGTAAGAGCTAGAAGGTTATTACGGAAAGCAGCATATTGATTGGCTGTCGTGTGAACTTCCACCGCGCGGCAAGCATTACCTCGTCCTGTGTGCAGGAGCCATAAGAGCTAAAAGGTTATTACGGAAAGCAGCATATTGATTGGCTGTCGCGCGAACTTCCGCCGCGCGACAAGCATTACCGCGTCCTGTGTGCAGGAGCCACAAGAATTGACTAATTACGATCGAGTATTTATCATAATGGCGACCTTACGGTTCTACGATTCTCAACATGATTGGTCAATTCTTACAGTACGTCTTACGTTACTGTTATGTCAATTTGTGTGTGAAGGCCTTAACCATAAACAAAATCGAAACGTAATTGGTCGTAAAGTTGGCCACACATACTTTTCGTAACAGTAACCTTTGACTATATAACCATGGACCGCTAGCGGCGATTCTAAGCGTCTGTAACATCTGTAACGCCGCCAGGACCAAACAACGGCAAAAGAATGAACTCAGTAGAGCAAGACAGAACTAGTAACGTAAACGCTTCTAATATCCGCGTATTACATGGTGATACATATTGGAAAAACCTAATAGAAGTAATAAAAAGAATTAGACTTTCTTGAAAACCACAAATACTTTATAACAAAATTAATTATAGAAAATTATGTTAAAATTGTTATGAATTATGTATTGTATGAATTGTTATGAATTATGTATTTTATGAATTATGAAAGAAAATTAATGAGCCAAAAATGTCAATATATCAGACATAAATTGACAAAAATTATTTTATTGCAAGTACAGTAATATACATTTAGAGTAACTTTTATATCGCTGATATGAAAATTCTACCTTTATTCGTTTAATGATGTCACATGTTTTTGTAAGCCGTTGCAAGTTACTCAAAGGACGGTATTTTAAATAATGTTTTAAAAAATATTGAACGTTCTTTTTATAATATTATATATATATTATATAAACATTCTT